CATAACACACTGGTGGTTCCGACGACTGTGTTTTGTGGTCTGGTGTTTGTTTTCAAAGAGATACAGAGTGTATAGAAATATCAGTATGGAATGTTTTGGCTGGGGGTGAAATCGTTTCACTTTAAGTCTTTTTATGATTTTGGAATCAATGAAGGTTCATGGACGGTGGTTTTCATGGATGGTGGCTTTAAAGCTTGATTCGAATTATGCCGACTGTTATTGATGAAGTCTCGATTATATTCATTTAATTTTGATTTCAGTTGTTTCTTTAAGTTAAATTTATTGGTTTTCAAGGACAATGGCTTTAATGCCTTTTCATTCTATTAAATGTTATGTTGAAAGAATCGAAATCAGTTTTGAATTTGAGATGATTTCCAAGTATTAAATCAAAATTGACCTTTGACTATTCTAATTTTAAGCTTTCCTTTGACATTGATAAAAGATTAAGGATTGATAGATTAGGAGAAATATTCTAAACCATAGGGACCATTTGTGTAATTACAGAGGCGGAGCTATGAGAGGGTCAGGGGTGCCATGGCCCCCCTGGTTTTTGGTATTCTAATACATATTTTATATATATATATATATATATATATATATATATATATATATATATATATATATATATATATATATATATATATATATATATATTTGTGTATTGAACTTCTTGGCCCCTACGATTTATTATCTATAGTAAGGATATATATATGTGTAAATGTAATTAAAAATTATATTAAAAAACAATTAACTATGCATAATCAGGAAATCAGTTATGATGCATGTAAATCACTTGTAACAGAAGGCAGATTTTTGCTGAAAAAAATCAATTACAGTTCTAATAAAATTAGGATACTGCTTTTAGGAAACTAAATACTATATAAAAGAAAAACCAAACAACAAATATTACATCTAACTTATTATCCGAATCAAAATCTTTGAGAAACACAAAATAAGAAATCATCAATTTGCTTCTGCCGGAAATCATACCCACCATCAGAGTGCTCATCTCCGCTGGAGTTCGCCCTAAAAACCAACCACCTGAGTGCTCATCTTTTCCTGAGTTCACACCGAAAAAACCCATTGACCGTTGGGTCTCCGATCAACAACCGCCCTAGCTGACTTCTGTTATTTCGACCAATAGTGCTTTTATCTTCTGTGTTTCTGACCACAGATCACTGCAGTAGCCGCCGTCGCCGCCAAAGTACTTACCATTCCATATATTTGTCCGCCCTTTCCGACTTGTGTCTCCAGCCACCGAGACAGATCGATCTCCGACCAGCAGTTACGCCTCTCAAATTTCTTCTATCGGCTGGTTCTCAACTTCTCTCTTCTTCTATCTTTGACTTTCTCTCTCTATAATATATGATAATGTTTGAAAGTTCTATGATAGTTACAAGCATTAGAATAATATATCATTAGCTGTCAAGGATAGATATAGCATTAGCTGTCAAGGATTTAATAAGATAATTTTTAGTGATATAATATTATATATTATTTGTTTCTCATAAGAGTCGTACCAATATCCATTGCTTAGACAAATTGTAGTTATTTGTTAACTATATATTAATTACACATAATCATATGTTAAGTTTTTAACTGTTATTTTTTATATTATTAATTTTTTAGCTATTTGTTAACCATTTATTAATTATGCTATGTAGTGTAAACGAAAATGAAAAAATAATCAACACTTGACGGATTTTTTTAAAAGAAAACATGAAAGTTCTTCTCAAGTACCAGTAGAGCCACACCCAAATGTTATAGATACAAATACTCCTAATGATAGTGTTCCTGTGACCGAGAACCCATCCAAAAAACCTTGTCTTGAAATGAATGATGTTGATCTTAATAGACTAGAACGAGATCCTAGTTTGCGTATTCAAATTTACGATTATCCGATCAATCAACGAGACACAATTCGACGAGCTTATATGAATCGTGGTCCCTTTCAACCAATACTTTCTGCATATCCAAAATCTGGACCGGAAGACCATAAGCGTAGCTTTCAATGTTCTTGGTTCAAGCAATTCCCATGGCTTGAATATTCACAAAGTTCAGATGATGTGTTTTGTTTTCCATGTTTCCTTTTTAACAAACCTTCCGGAATGGGATACTACGGGCAACGGGCATTTACTATAGATGGATCTCAAAATTGGAAGAAAGTACGTAGGAAAAAATGTGCTTTTTGCAACATATGGGAACAGAGTGTACATCTTTTCACAATGTTGCACAAAAATCATATGATGATTTGTTAAATGAGAGTCAAGATATACGAAAGACGATCGAGAAATTTACAAATGAGGATCGTAAGAAGAATAGATTGGGATTGAAGACGATTATTTATGCAGTTTGTTGGTGTGCCTTTCAAGCAATTGCATTTAGAGGTCATAATGAAAGACCAGATTCCATTAATAAAGGGAATTTCCTTGAAATGTTGAAGGCAATATGTTCTTTTAACGATGAGATAAAAGAATTGTTTCGCACTGCGCCTAAACATGCATCATATACATCACCAACAATTCAAAAAGAGATTTAAAACCTTATCGCAAATAGGGTGAGACGGATGATTTGTGATGAGATTGATGGTGGAAAATTTTGTTTACTTGTTGATGAAGCACGTGACGAGTCTAATAGAGAACAAATGTCTATTGTTTTGAGATTCGTAAATAAAGATGGCGTTATTATGGAACGTTTCTTTGGACTTGTTCATGTTCCTGACACTACATCACAAACTCTGAAGAATATAATATATTTCCTATTGACACATAACAATCTTGATTTTAAGTCGATTCGTGGTCAAGGGTATGATGGTGTAAGCAATATGCGAGGTCATTTCAAAGGGTTGCAAGCATTGATTTCGAAGGATTGTCTGTCTGCTTATTATGTTCATTGCTTTGGCCATCGATTGCAATTAGCATTAATGGCCGCTTCTCAAGGAGTTATTACGTTGCAAAAGTTTTTTACTCAATTATCTTTTGTTATTAACGTCGTTGGTGCTTCTTCCAAGTGTGCTGACCAACTAAGAGATGCACAAGCAGAGCAAATGGCATATTTTAAATCTATTGGTGAGTTGGAGACTGGTAGAGGCCTTAATCAGATTGGTACATTACAACGGGCTGGAGATACTAGATGGGGTTCTCATTTGAAATCAGTTTCAAGCTTAATCAAAATGTTTAGTCCAATTTGTGAGGTTTTACTTAAAATTATTGAGGATGACACTGGTTCAATCAGAGGAGATGTAGATTCAGCATATGAGACTATTACAACATTTGAATTCATTTTTGTTCTACATCTAGAGAAAGAAATAATGGAGATCACAGATTTACTTTGCCAAGCTTTACAAAAACAATCTCAAGATATATTGAATGCATTAAGGCTAGTTGCATCCACCAAATTGTTATTGCAAAAAATGAAAGATGAAAGATGGGATGGTTTTCTATCTCATGTTAATTCATTTTGTCTGGAACGCAACATCGATATCCCTGATTTGTCTTCTTCTTAATTTAGTAGAGGGGCTCAAGCTCGTAATGAGTGTAGCGATCATACACATAAACATCATTATCGAGTGGATATCTTCATCGGAGCAATTAACTGTCAGTTAATGGAATTAGATCATAGGTTCAATGGTAGCTCGATGGAATTACTCCATCTTTCATCAACTTTAGATCCTAAAAATTCTAATGAGCCTTTTCGAAGTGGTGATATATGTCAATTAGTAGAAAAATTTTATCCTGAAGATTTCAATGAAACCGAGAAAAATCTTTTGAAGATGCAACTCCAACATTACAAGGCAGATGTCATTCAACGTGATGATTATAAGCAATTAATATATATTTCAGAATTATGTCAATGGTTGATAAAGACTAGAAGAGCAACCAATTTTTATTTGATTTATCGAGTAGTTAGTCTTATACTCACTCTTCCGATTTCCACTGGTACAACAGAGAGATTATTTTCAGCAATGAGTCTTGTTAAAACAAGGCTACGAAAAAAAATGGAAGATAAATTTTTAAAACAACTCGTTGGTTTTGTACTTCGAAAGGGAGCTTGCAGAAAAGATTACTTTAGAGACGATTGTGCAAGACTTTAAAGACGCCAAAGATCGACGAATTCCATTTTAATGAGCAATGTTAGAATACTTTATATTAATTTTTTGTTTGATTATTTATATGATATGACATTGAATCGAATAAATTTTTGTTTTCTGTTTCTTTAAAATATTTACTTTGGGCCCCCCACTACAACTTTTCGTGTTCCGCCCCTGCCTATATATATATATATATATATATATATATATTATATATATATATATATATATATATATATATAATCCAAAGGAGCTTAGGAATAGTAAATTTTTTACCTTTAGCTTTTTGCCACAAATATTTACTAAATTTGATACTTTTAGTCCCTAAATCAAAACTTTTATATTTTTATGTTTTGATTAAGTTTTTGTGTCTTTAGGGATTTGCCACAAATCTTTAGAGACTTTGACACTTTTAGTCCTTGAGTCAAAAGTTTTACATTTTGGTGTTTTTGTCACAAATATTTAATAAATTTAACATTTTTCGTTATTGTAATCAAAACATTTATATTTTGACATAAAAAACGCAAAAAACCTCATTTAGAATTTTGTCACCATATTTTCTCTACTTTGGCAATTTTAACATTATTGCCACAACATTTTTAGATTTGCTCTACCAGTGTCTCTTTTTTTTGTTGTACATTTTTTACATCTAATTTTAGGGGCTGTCGACTTTCTCCCCTATTTGTAGTAATTCACAATTTCAGCCCATATCTTTTAAAGTTTGCCCATTTTTTCCATATTACCCTAATAGTTAGTTCTTTGCTAGTTACCTTTAGATTTCTTTTCATAATCCGTGAACACTGTACACCACTTCCATAGCGAACTGCTCCTATAAAACTCCCAAGATTGGTTAACGGGCGGACACCCCAACGCTTCGCTTCCTTCCCAACCTTTGTGCAATTGGGTCTTTATGTTTAAAAGCTATCGACATACGACACAACAACAGGCTGTCTTCCCCTTCATCGTTGCTCTCGAATTTTTTGCATTCCCTCATTCTCCTGTGAGTATAAAAAGTTCTAACCTAGTTTTTTTTTTTCTTCATAACTAACCTGGCGAATTGTAGAATTTGGTTTGTTTGTTTTGTATGTCCTGATTGATTGTTGCATTGCAGGGAATAATGCATAACAATGATCTGGTGGGATCTGTAAGAAAAAGAAAAAAATCAATAGATGTAGAAGGAGGCGATGATAGACTAAGCAGCCTGACGGATGATCTTATCCATGAAATCTTTTCTTTTATGAGCATCAAAGATGCTATCAGAACCTGTGTTTTGTCGTCTAGATGGAAGTTTATCTGGACTTCAATGCCTGACTTGAATTTTGAAAATCTCAATGATCGGCCCCACCTCTCGAGAACAGTTACGGACGATGAATCTGTCTCGAGAATTCTCAGCTTGGCATTCTCTCACAATCTCCAACAACTGAGTGTTATACGTGCGCCTGGGAATTCGATTATATTCCCATATTCCTTCATTGTGACACCAAAGTGGGACCTCCCAGCTTTAACCACATTGCATCTTCACTGTGTCAAACTCATGTCTGATGACCTTTTCTCCAAGTGCACTAACTTGAAGAACCTCATCTTAAAAGAATGCACATTAATGGAGGAGATGGAAGTTTTAACTATCTGTCATCCTCGACTTTCTGATCTTACACTTGTATCTACACCCCCGGATATGGAATTACAGGAGGGTGTGAATGTGGTTGCACCTCAACTCAAGAATCTCACTATTAAATGGTGCCAAGGGGAACATCTGATTTCTGCACCTGGGCTTACCTCCTTGGTCATAGAAGGTTTTCATCCATGCCAGAGTTTTACTTGTACAAAACCAGGTTTCCATTCTTTGGAGAAGGTTCGTATCTATTTCTATGATGCAGGGAATGCAGATGCTCATAAAATAGTTTCTCTGCTTCAACAGCTCCATAGTGTCAAGCTTCTTACACTTAATTTGCAGATTCTCCAGGTATTGGATTTGCTTCTTTCATCTTTTAATCTCAACAATGGAAAATACACTTTTATTTTTCTTTCACAAAACAAGGTATTCTTCCATTTGGCTAGCCTCTACTTGAAGATGATATAGCCTTCCATAACTATATGTGTGTGTGTGTGTGTGTGTGGTTATAAAGATGACATTAATCTATATCTAATTTCTTTTTGTTTTATTTTCTGCAGCGTCTTTTTTCAATAGAGGTATACCAGGAGTTGTTGCATTTGGCTGCTCTACTTCAAGATGAAATAACCCTCCATAACTACATGTTCATTCAGAATTCTGAAAAAAAAAAAAAAAAAAAAAAACAGACATATCCGTTCAACAGTGTTTAGGAAACTGTTTTTATCATTTTTATTATATGTGACATTACATACTATTTATTGTGTTTAATTTCAAGTTGTGTTTGGTTTCTTGACTGTGCAGGTGCGGCCCAGATTTAGGAATGTCAAACGGAGGATGAGGAAATCAGCGGTATGTGAGAACTTGAGAACCAATTTTTTTCAAAACCAACACCACCTAGGCCAATTGCACATAAAAAATCTAAAAAGCACGTAAAAAAACAAAAAAGTATAAACATGCATATATGTAATTTGGTTTTGTTATATTTTGTGCAGCGTTTTTCTTCAGGCATGGAAGTAAGCCCATATAAAACTTGTGTGTTGGCAAATGCAAAGATAGTAAAGTTTGTACCAAGTACTCAAGAAATAGTATACTTGGAAAAAGTAACCACATGTACTGAAATAAAAAACTATGATGATAATTCTCCAAGTTCCATCTTCCCAATGGTCTCACGTGAGGTATCTACACAATGCTATATTTTTCCTAGTTTATAACATTGTAACATTACAAAAACTTGAAATTTTTTACGACTTGCAGGAGATTATAGTTATGGGGGATATAGCATTAGCACATGTATTTGTGAGACACCTGAGGATATTGGTAAAGGAGTGTAAAGCAAATACAGATATTGAGACTGACATGGCTCATATGGATGAACATGGCAAACCACAAGTCTGGATGATGCTCTGGGCATGGGAATTGCAATATAAGCTTAGGAAAATGATGGCAATGCTTCAGCAAAGGGTAATTGTAGAACTAGAGAATTGTCGCATGATGGCATCGTTAAGGCGAAGATATAATATTATGCAGAGGGGATTAGAGACTCATCCCATAGTTACATGGTTGGAGGATATGCGTGCATTGTTTGAGCGCATTCAACGGTTGATATCTCGGCTGTCTGCATCAAAGAGCGATGTGTTGCGACCAATTTTTCTTAGTCTATGTCAAGATGCTGTCATTCTCACCAATAATATGTTGGGATGGATATTGGAGACTACAAACTCAACTCGACAGACGATGAGATTATAAGTTATGGTTAAATCAAAAGGGTCGTTGAGTTAGGATATCATTATTAAATTTTACAAATTACGTTAGAAAATTAGATAAGATTGCAATCTTTTAAGCTTAAAGAAATTATTTTTTATAAACTTCAATTCTTTTAGCAGCTTGCAGACTTTAAAAAAAACATTATTTTTCTTGCAGAATGCTAACGTTTGGTCCACCTCTTTTTCTGCAGATGTGGTCAGCTGACTGCAGACGTTTTAGTGTTTTACCTTTTGAAATACAAACAATATCTTAAGATCTATTTTTCTTCTACTGCTTCTGCCAAGTCAACACTTCTTTTCATGGATTAACGTTATTGTAAAAAACTTTAATTTAAACATCAAGTATTAAAAATAATATAACAGTAAACTGCAGAAATGGTCGAGTGGTTTGCCTTTTTTTTTTTTGCCAAACATCAAGTACTTCTACATCCCGTCTATGTCCCTCTCCTTGTTGTTGCTCATCCTCTCCTAAAGCTCAGATCAAGATGAATTTTTATAAGGCCTGTCATAACTTTACTCAACACAAAACGGTCTCCTCATGGTTTAAGGAGTTGAACCCTTGGACCAGAGATTTCATTATTAAGGAACGCCTCGTTTGGATTGACATTGAAGGAGTTCCTTTGAGAACTTGGAGCAAAGTAAATTTCTGAAATATTGTCAATAAATACGGTAGCATTGTGTATATGGATGATGATTTGGAAGAGAACCTTTTTACTAACCGCGTTTGCATTGAAACTAATCTAACGGGTATAATCTCAGATGATGCTTCGTCTATGGGAGAAGTGAATAGTAATCATATGCCCTCACCTGCCCCTTTTGAATTATGTGATTTTATTGATGATTCCGAGAGACATGATCAAGATTTTATTAGTCCTACAAATTCTAAGAGGCAGGATGATTTTAATGTCTTGTTATTGGTATTGATTATGATGCAAGTTCTCCGGATCTTGATGACACAACTCATGAGGATTTGCTTCATGATCCTTTTCAGTGGATGAGATCTAAAAAGAAAGATAACATTGGTTATTATATATATTTTTAAATACTACATAAAACTTTCAATTCTATAAAAGCCGTGAAAATTGACTATTTAAAAGTTTTTTTTTTGTCAATTTAACCATCAAAAAGGAAATATGTGCATTGAAAGATTGATAACTCATGTCTGCTATGCAACCAAAATTTTCTAGTTTGTGTGAAGATGCTGCCATTCTCACCAATAATATGTTGGGATGGATAAAGACCATAAATTAAACTCCCTTATAATCAAACGGTAGATTTATTTGGCTTCTATTGCATTTAGTAGGTAGGTAGGTAAGGAAGAACATTGGAACGATAGTTGCATTCTTGTTAAGAAAAAAGTTTGGTGGAATGGAATGATTTTGAGGTTGATGTTTGCTTGAGATTCACTGAAAAACTTGGTTTGTAGGTGTTTGTGTTGCCTTCTTTTTTTATCTTGTTTCACAAACACATATTCAAAGACTAAATACAAGGAATGCTAATGTTAATGATGCTCCTAAACCCTTCTATTGCATTCGATCATGTTGTTTCCATGCATCCTTTCCAAAAATGTGTTGCATTTGTGCTATGTGGTTTTTGCATCACTTTCATTGCATGTGGCTTTAATTTCCAAGTTGAAGCAAGTTTTTTATTTATTATTAATTTCGGATATAATAGCCATTTAGTGTTGTTATTAGTTGGTTATAAAACCTTCTATTATTTAGAACTATAAGGTCATTTTGGAAAATGTGTTAAAATTTGGTTAGATGTATATAAATGACCATTTGGGATGGTAGTTTTGTCATTAATCCCTTAATTTTATATGTTTTTATTCGGCAATGTCAATCAGAACATTCAACTGGTGCAATTTACACCAAATCTAACATAAGTAGATGACTAAAATACCCCCAACTTCTCACAATTTACACCAAATCTAACATAAGTAGATGTATGGAAATAAATTTTTAAGAAAAACAAGAATTTTAAGAACTTGTTAGTTAACATTTTTTTCAAAAAATTTGCACGAAAGTGAATATTTTCCATTTTTCAAAATTACAATGAGGTTGGTGAACTTTGAAAAACCAATAAATATTGTTTTCTACAATTTTCCAACTCTAAAAAATTTATAAAACACAAACATACTCATCACCACAAGGATGATGATGAACTTAAAATTATGTGATGTCTAAACAGGAAGTACAAGTATGACACTCATAGACTTTGAAGGATTTAGTGAAAACTTTAATCTGCAAAAAGATTTAGAAAAGAAAGGTATAGTTAAACATATGCAAATGAATTATCTAAAAAATATCAACGTGGATAATTTGGAGAATGCTAAGTGAAAATGTGTCTACAATGTTTAGCTCTCCAACCACATCATCATCTAGGAAAAGAATTGAGCTATTCTTAATTTAAAAATCCAAACACAGAAACACACGTAGTCTAAAATCTTTATATATATCAAAAATATAAAGCCCAATTAGTTTTAATGAAATAATAAACAGGCCCACATAACTAATCTTTTTGGTGGTGAATAAGTGGGTTTGATAAGCCCATGCCACTTGATCTTATGCAATCAGTGATACACATAAATAACGCTGACTGAGAAATAAGACGCTCCTTATTCCTTCTTCAGTTCTTTGCCTCTTTGCCAAAAAATCCCGCATTCTTCTTTTCTTCCTCCTACGCAAGCGACCACTGAAAATCACGCCTCAAGGCAAGCTTTTGAAATTAAATTTGATCACTCCATTATCATCTGGAGAGCAAGACGAGATTATCCATCTCCATCTACCTTCACGAATCCTCTCGTTGATTCCAACCGCGACTCCTCCCTCCGGTCGAAGCTCTAAGGGGTTGACAGAAAACAGATTAAGGGGCAGGGGCAAAGTGGGCATGGGAACAGGGCCCATTTTTTTTATATTATATTTATTATTCACAAAACTGAATCAAGCCAAATGCTAATCGGTCGGTCATGAGATCACGATTTTACGCGCACACATAGAACGCAGATGTGGTGCAGACGTTTTACCTTTTAAAAAACAAACAATATCTTAGTATCTATTTTTCTTCTACTGTTTCTGCCAAGTCAACACTTCTGGATGATAATTTTCATGGATTAACGTTATACCCTCACCTGCCCCTTTTGAATTATGTGATCTTATTGATGATTCCGAGAGACATGATCAAGATTTTATTAGTCGAGGCGGGATGATTTTAATGTCGTTGTGGATTTGTCTGGCTCCGCTCTATTGGTATTGATTATGATGCAAGTTCTCTGGATCTTGATGATACAACTCATGAGGATTTGTTTCATGATCCATTGATCAGCGGATGAGATCTAAAAAGAGGGATAACACCGGTTATTATAATTTTTTTAAATACTACATAAAACTTTCAATTCTATAAAAGCCGTGAAAATTGAAAATTGTTTGGTTTAACCACTTAAAAGAATTTTTTTTTGTCCATTTAACCATCAAAAAGTTTGAATTTTTTTTCAAAAAAAAAAACAATAATTCCCTAAAAAACTAATCTTTTGTTTTGTTACTTGCAATTCACTAACGGAAAAAACGTAGAGCGTATTTTTTTTGAAAAAAAAATACAAACTCCCAGCAGTTCAAAAATCTTTCAATAGTAAGGGTGTGTTTGGCACGGAGCTTTTGTAAGCGTTTGGGAGCTTCTAGCTTCTAGCTTTTGATAAAACGCTCTAGTTTAAACAAAAAGCTTCGTTTGGCAGTACGAGCGTTTAGCTTTTAGTTTTAACAAAACGTTCTTATTCTAAAAGCTACTTCATGTAGCGTTTAACAAAACGCTCCTAAGCTTTTGAAATCAATTTCCATAATTACCCTTAAAAATATATTTTTATATTTATTTATTTTTAATCAATTGTCCTTTTATGTAATTTTATATATTTCAAAAACTTCCAGCTACTTTTGCCAAACATTCATATAACAAATAAAAGCTACAGCTTCCCGCTACCGGCTACCTGCTACACGTTACCAGCTACCAGCTAACAGCTACTTTTGCCAAACACGCCCTAAATCAGATAAAATCGAAGTTATAGTGGTTTTTACAGAATTTTAGCATAATTCAAATTCTAAATGAGAGGCTTGATAGTTTCAAAGTGGACTTTGTTGCAGTATTTTCGAAGTGGATAAATACTAAATGAGATCCTTGAGGTATTGCACCTTGATGTTGCTTATCATGTGCATTGGCAAATAGTAATACTCTTGTACAATAAAAATACTAAAACATAACATATTATTTTTTCTTTTCTTTCACAAAAGAAGGTATATGATAGAACTCATCTCATATTAGACCAGTATCACACCATAAGCCCAAAGGTAGAAATCAGTCCTTAAAAATAAAAAAAATAAAAAATAAAAAAACCAGAAGAATCAATCCAATCAGGCTTAAGACCCGGAAATACTAAGTCAAAACACGTTGTAAATACCAACTCAACAGGATCCCGAAAATATCAGACATTTAGTTACTTAACCTAGACTATAAATACACTTGTAAAACACACACAACAGAGACAATTTTTTGACACCTTACTCATCTAGACTCACTTTATCATTTGTAATAGCATTATCAAGCTCATCTCTGTAATTTATGTTCAAATCAATAAGATCATACAAGGCAGGTGATCATTATCACCTCTCAATGTTTTATGTTGGAGATCATAGCAAGGATCAACGACTTTCCTTGTAAACCTCCTGTGTTATTTTGATTTCAATTCCATATTCACATTAATAACAACACCACATCCTCTCATGCAATTTGGTTGATATCCATCTAGTCGATTTTTTACCAAAACAACTGCTACGCTGAATGTTAGAAAAATCATAAGTTCCTCAAATGAAGTCAGATTTTAACGTTCTTTATATGCACGCTCTCGGTTTAACGACTATTACGAATTTTGTTTAGATTACTAAAGCTAAAAAGTAATTTATGAAAAAATTATTTTTTACGTTACGCAGAGTCGTG